CAGAAGTAGTGAGACCAGGCACCTACAAAATCCAAGATTCTGAGGGAAAAGTTTTACTCCATCCATGGAATGCAGAGCACTTGAAAAGGTATTACCAATGACACCTTGAGAGCATCAAAGCAGTAGAAGTTGGGACTTGATTTGATTTTTAGGGGTGTTACCCAAGATTTCAATGTATTTTTTTTTGGGAATTATTACCCAATATCGCTTTTTATAAGCAATAAATTAATAAAATTTTCTATGCCATTTACTCCAAAAAGATTTTCTGTATTTCATTTCAAAGGAGTATCGGTACAAAAATAAGGCCAGATACCGCCTTTTTAACAAAAAAAAAAAAAAAAAAATCAAAAGTCCTAAACACTCTAACTGCTCTCATGGTCGTCCCCCACCTCCTCCTCATTGTCATCAACAGCATCAGATCCCCCCTCATCACTGTCGTCAGTGGGCACGAAAGGTGAGAAGTCAATATTAGGGAAAGCGGTAGAAACTTTCCCTCGGAGATCCTCGAAACCATCAATAAAAGCATCTGCAAGACCGTTCTCCAAGTCTTCCTCAGCACGGGAAACTCTCTCCTTAGCAGCCGTCAACTTTGCCTCTGCAACAGCTGCCTCTCTGAGCATGGCCCTCCCATGGGCCTCTACAAGCTCAGCCTCCCTGAGCGCGCTCCTCTCGCGGACTGCCAAAAGCTCAGCCTCTAGCTTAGTGGCCCTCTCATAGGCTGCAGCAAGCTCACCATCCCTGAGCGCGCTCCTCTCGTGGACTGCCAAAAGCTCAGCCTCTAGCTTAGTGGCCCTCTCATGGGCTGCAGCAAGCTCACCATCCCTGAGCGCGTCCCTCTCGCGGGCCGCCAGAAGCTCAGACTCTAAATTAGAAAACCTTTCATGTGCTGCCACAAGCTCACCCTCCCGGAGCACGTCCCTCTCACGGGTCACCAAAAGCTCAGAATCAAGCTCGACAATCCTCTCCTGAGCAGTAATAAGCTCCCTCTGCACAAGGCTAAGATCCAGCTTCAGCTTGTCTTGATTATAGGCCCTCGAAAGCAAGCAGATGGAGGAAGTCGAAACCTAAAAAAAAAAAGAGTCAAAAACACAGGAAACGACTGGAGAAAGGGAAATAGCAGACCCTTACCTGAGCCAGACCTTCCAAATACGTGTTGACGATATTATCAGTGCCCGAAGCGCTAAGCTCAGAAACTTCTAGCCCAAACACAAACCTCCCAAGCCTTGCCCTGATAGCTGCTGGTCTCCCCATCATAGAACCAGCCCAAATCGGCACTTGGGTAGAAGTTCCTGAACAAGGAGGAGACAAAGGAGGGGTAGCACGAGGAGAGGATAAAGGTGGAACAGATGTGCCTGGCAAGGAAGATTCTGGAGCAGCAGTTGGAGAAGTTGCCAGTTGAGAAGGAGCCACCGTGGAAGCCACATGGGGGGCATCATCTGTCCTTGTCACTTTGGAAGAAGGAGGGCTCCTGCTAGAAAAACGGGACACCACCACCCTCTTACTTGCTGCAAGAGTAGAGAAGGGTTAAAAAAAAAAAAAAAAAAAAGGAGAGGAAACTAGCTCACCCTTTTTCTTCGAAGAGGAGCTGCCAGATTTCTGAGATGGAGCTACAGCTCTAGTATACTTGGGCAGGAGAACTCCCAAATCTTTACAAGGGCAAGCTTTGACAGCCTCCAATTTCCACTCCTGGTCCCGGGAAAGCACAGGTATATCTGCATGGAAAAAGTGAGCACACACAAAAAAAAAAGGAAAAAGAAGAAGTGTGCAGCATACCGGGTTTTTTAGCAGCACCCCAATGTGTTGGCATCGAAACTCTGTCGACTTCTGAAGCCCATTCTCCACCAATAAAGAAGAAACAAGATTTCCAGCCGCCGCAATTAGAGCGCATTCCTGTAAGCACTGTACCACTCCGTGCGGTAAAATAGTACCATCCCCTATTTGGTGTAGGGGTTTCGCTCAAATTATATGCTGCATGAAACTCCATAGGGGAAGCATCCTCGTGGTGCACCTTTCTCCATAATGCAAGAAAACCAAGCAGGACTCTCCAACCGTTGCGCGCTAGTCGCCCCGGAATCAAGGAAAAGTAATGCAAAACACGACAAATGGGGGAGGACATGGGAAATCTTAACCCAGCCTTAAGCATCTCCTCGTAGACAACAATATCCCCGGAAGAGTCATCGCAAGCAAACTCGCCTAACTCAGCCCGACGTCACAACACGGTCAGAGGGATGCGATAAGTAAAAATAAGCCTTGAAATATCTTCATTTAAGCGGAACAAACTAGAAAGGGTGCTCACCTTAGACCCGTCATCATCAAGTCCCACTTTGCTCTTGCGTTTCTTCTTCCGGGGCCTTAAGGAGTAGTCCAAATCACCATTGGGAGAGTCTTGAGGAACTTGAATCGGGGGAGCTACAATAGGGGCTTGATCATCAAGGACAGCACCCAAAGCTTCCTTACTACTTGCAATATCTAGCTCAACGCCTGGAAGTGTGTCTGACTGCTGTTGCTCGTCAAAACAAAGTTGCCCAGTAGCTTGAAGGGTGCCTGGCCCTTCAAAATTGCGCAACACAGAATTTTCGGCGCAAAAATCATCACCTAAGGCGCCCAAATCAGCGCCTCGAGTGGGAATCGGATCAGCCCGTGCTCCCAGGCCATTGCCTAGCTCTCCCTGATGAATCTTGGACTGATTTTCAGCGCCCCTTGATGGAAAAATGCTGCTGCCCAGTGTTCCAAAGCAGCCCAGCGCAGCAGATCTGAAGCTGTCCGGGACAGCAGAAGTAGTAGCTAGGCTGCTGCCCAGCGCACCTGGGCTGTCCAGGATAGCAAGGCCAGCGCCCAGGCAGCTGCCCGGTACGCCTGGGCTGTCCAGGACAGGAGGAGCAGAGCCCAGGCAGCCGCCCAGGCCCCCACCGCGCCTGCGCTGCCTAGTCGCTGCCCAAGCCACTCCTCGCGCTTCTATCTCCCCTTCGTTGTCCAGCCCTTCATTTATAGTCCCAAAGCCGTCCAAGACAGCATTCGAATGCTCAAAACCAGCCTCCAAGTTCTCCAAAATGGTGCCTACTTCCTCCCTTTCTTCAACCTCCACCACTCCCTCTTCAATCGACATTGTTTACTTGAGAAGCTCAACTAGCAAGGAAGAAATCACACTCTTGAAAGGATTCAAGGAGAACACACTTTGGCTTCAACAAAATGGGTAGGACTTGAGTTCTCAAGGTTTTCAAGAGGTGGGTGCTCAACCTTAAAAATGAGTGAAATGGGTAACATGAAGAAGAAGACTATATTTATAGTCTAGGGTTTTTCAAAAAGAGGGAAAAAGCTCAAATGGAAAATTATGTGCCCTTTTCAAAATAAAGTGGCTAAATAGAAAGTTATGGGTCCTTTTCAAAATAAAAAGGCCAAACAGAATATTATGGGCCCTCTTTAAAATAAAGTGGGAAAGACTTGAAGTTTAAAAAAAAATAAAAAAAAATATAGTCAATGCCTCATTCTCCAAGTCTCCTTGGACATGGGGCATTGGGGGGCAAATGATGGGTTAAGCCCAAATAGTCCAATTCATGTGTTAAAGTNCCTCTTTAAAATAAAGTGGGAAAAACTTGAAGTTTAAACAAAAAAAAAAAATATAGTCAATGCCTCCTTCTCCAAGTCTTCTTGGACATGGGGCATTGGGGGGCAAATGATGGGTTAAGCCCAAATAGTCCAATTTATGTGTTAAAGTCCAACCCCAGTTGAGGAGCCCAACCTCATTTTGATTCCACCAAGCCCAAGACAGTCCAAGACCGGTTAGACTTTTTGCTTAGCACGTCATCAAGAGGAGAGCATGGGAAGCTTATCTGCACCACCGAAGGAAACGGTCCAA